CTGTGAAATGGTGTTCTTCACAAAGGAATTAGAAAAGTCTTAAATGGTGTGTTGAAAGTAAAACAATGGACAAACGTGGTGTGTAAATTGGAAACAGGAAATTATTTGTTGCTAGGTCCTAACATGAGTTTGAGATATCTCTTTTTAAATGTGCACGTTATGTAAAACAGGATCCTGAAGACTAGAGTTTAAAAGTAAAGAAATTAAAACATGAAAAATGTTAACAAAATTTTGAAAGTTCCTGAAGCTTCAGTAAAATTTGATAAACAATTAGAGTAAAGAAAAATGATGAGGACGGACTGACAATTGGTGACTGATAAAATTTTGACTGACACATGGCCCTTTCACAGATGGAGCCTCTTTTGCGCTGTGGCTGCTGTGTGTGTATCTTGTTTTTTCAGACCAACCTTGCTGATTCATCTGGAGAGAAGATTTGTCCACACCACAGCTGTAAAGACTTTCCTAGGTCACCTTCCGACCATCACCATGACAACATATGGCAGAATTATGTGGAGATGTTGTCCCATGAATAGGTCCCAGGCCACTACGTTTCATGCCTGTGACTCCAGACAACACTTCGGATAGTGTCATTGTGATGGAAAGGGTGTGCACTGGGGTAACAACGATCTTCACCTACAGCAATGTTAATGGATACCCAACAAGTATGAGAGCTGTTATGAAGCCAGAGACAAACCATCTGGTTTGTATTCATTCTCCTCCAGGAAATTTGACTGTTCGGGTAGGCCATGTACCTGGTGCCAGCGAAACATTATTGATCTGTTTCCTAATTTGTCAGTATGAGGATGGAACTTATATTCCATGTTCCACGTGGACGCCTCAATGGAATTATCCCACTGAGGGAGGCTGGTTCCTGTGTGGAGGACGCAATATCTGTCCTTCGCTGCCTACAAACTGGACAGGTGTAACGTTCCCCATTTGTTTGCTTGTCACCTAGCGCGATAATGACAATTCTTCACAACGTGAATGTCTATGAGTGGTCTCTCCGCTCCACCAGCACTCCGCAGAATTCTTTATTTATTTATTTATTTTTTAAATTTCTATACATATATATATATATATATATGTATATATATATATATATAAAAATTCCCTTCTCACCCACCGTGGGTGGTTCTTATCCTCTGAGCTCGGGTCCTCTACCAGAGGCCTGGGAGCTTGAGGGTCCTGCGCAGTATCTTGGCTGTGCCAAGGACTGCACATTTCTGGACTGATGTTGTTCCTGGGATCTGTTGTAGCCATTGATCCAGTTTGGGGGTAACTCCCCCGAGGGCCCCGACCACCACTGTGGTCTTCACCTTCCAGGCCCTCTCCAGTTCCTCCCTGAGGCCCTGGTATTTCTCCAGTTTCTCGTGCTCCTTTTTCCTGATGTTGCAATCACTTGGTATTGCTACATCTACCACAACAGCTTTCCTCTGTTGTTTATCCACTACGACAATGTCTGGTTGGTTCACCATTACCATTTTATCTGTCTGGATCTGGAAGTCCCACAGGATCTTAGCTCTGGCGTTCTCCACCACCTTTGGGGGTGTTTCCCACTTTGATCTCGGGGTTTCCAGTCCATATTCTGCAGACATGTTTCTGTACACTATGCCTGCCACTTGGTCAGGTCGTTCCATGTACGCTTTCCCTGCCAGTATCTTGCACCCTGCTGTTATGTGCTGGACTGTCTCAGGGGCCTCCTTGCACAACCTACACCTACACCTGGTGTGGTAGATCTGGGCCTCTATTGCTCTGGTGTTTAGGGCCTGTTCCTGGGTGGCCAGGATAAGGTCCATACCATACCTTATTTGGAAATTGCAGCATTGTACTCTGGAACTGAGTTTTCTATATTTTCCATGGTTTCAAGATTTTTTTTTTTACTTTTGAAATTTTTTTGTATTCAAGTCGTGATTAAAACATAATTATGAAACACAATATGTAAATATTCCAGTTTGTTTGCTGTACTAATTTTATTATTAAAGCTGAAGATAACTTTATTCCTCTTTGGAGAAGTGTGTAAGCACAGCCATTTTAGTACACATAATAGAGGTACAGCTCATCTGGGGTAATGGAGAAACTGCAAAAGTATGTGTGTCCACGTGTGTGTATTTTTTGTATTCATATTTTTTTTATCATGTTTTCCTTAAAATTCTGAAAATCTTGTCTTTAACCTAAATAAATAATAATAAAAAAAAATACTAGGATAGCATAGTAGTCAATTTATCATGGTATATTGCTTTAATCATTAAATAAATGTTAGATACTTTTAGAAATGTCAGGAAATATCACCCACTCCCCTCAAAATAAATACTCAAAATAAAGCATAATTTATAAATAATACCTATGCATCTCAATCAATTATAGGAGGAATAAAATAACAGAGAGCCACAAAAAGTAACATGATAATAAAAAAACATTTACAATGTCAAAATATTACTGAGTCCACATATGAGAATTTTTCTTTCATTTTTTACTTTTTCTAATAAAGTTCAATAACAAATGAAGGAGTTTCACAGAAGAATTCATGAACAAACCAGGATTGTTAAACAAATGCAAGCCAAAAATTCACATATAGTCCTTTTTTTGGCAGAATCTTATGTTGATTCCATGTGTAGAAAAGTGTCCATCAAGGTGGAAACTTTCCTTCCAACTCCAAAACTCTAAAATAAAACGCATTCACAGAATCACAATATCAGCAATATGAGTATAGAAGGAAACACTTTGCATGCCATAGGTAGATGTTGTCAATCACTTTCGTCAACTAGGAATAAATGACTTCTAATAGATGTCTGAGCTCAGGAAGCTTCAAAAGTTGAAACTGATGAAAAAAGAGGATGAATGCTATCTTCTAAAATATTCCATGCCATCTTCCATGTTCTTTCAGCAAACAGTTGAGACAGAGGTTTTTTGTGGTTTCACCACTATTTACCTGCTAATGAAACAATTAAAAGTTTGTATTTTATTCAGCAGCTCATGTGACTTAGGAGATGGAAAGTTAAATCACTCAAAAATTGCTTTGTAGACAAACTCTAGTTGGCTAGCCCCAAAAACATTAAGGTTTCTTCAAAGATAAGATCTCTGTGAGCATTTCTTAAAATTTGTGTTTTCAACAAAGGTAAGCTGACTGTCCAGGAATGACCCAAGGTATTTAAAATTTGTCACTTTAATGTCTTCTGGTCTTTTAATTATCTCCACATCCTTAAGAAAATAAAAAAATAAGTTTATTAGAGAAATATCTTTTATGGTTGCAGTAATAAAAAAGATGTTGTGGTATCCTGATTCAGTGATTTTTTTAATAGTAGTTGTGTTATCAACCCCACACCAGCAGAGATAGTAAACATAGACCACTGGTGTCCAAAGTCGGTCCTCAAGAGCCAGAATCCTGTATGTTTTAGTTCTCTCACTGGTTCAATGCACCTGGATCAAAAAATGGTTCAATATAAGGCTTACTGTTGTTCAGATGAACACAGGAATATTTGAATTCCTCAACCACCTCAACTTCTCCTCCCATGATCAGAATAGGGTTTGATCAAATCCTGTTTTCCCTAAAACCTACAATCATTTTCTTTGTTTTGTTCACATTCAAGATAAGATTATCCTGCACCATGCCACAAAATGGTCCACCAGATCTCGGATACATCCGGTAACTGCATAGTCATTTGAGTTTTTCTGTTGGTGACAGAAGTCAGACTTGTGCTGGAAGTTTGAAGAGTAGAAAGTGAAAAGGAATAGAAAAAAACAGGCATTTGTGGTGCTACAGTCTTGCAGACCACGTGGTCAGACACACAATCCTTCAGACTCACAAACTGTTGCCTGTTTGCAAGGTAATCAAGATCCAGGTGATTGGTGATGCCTCCCCCTTTGTTTCTGACTAAGAAGATCCGGTTGATTTGTATTAAATTCATTGGAGAAACCAAATAACATTATCCTCACAGTCCTGCCTGCTTTGTCCAAATGACAGTGGATTTGTTGGAGCTGGTGTATGTTGGTGTCTTCAACTTCAACTCCACAGTAATAAGCAAACTGGAGGAGTGTCTTGACATATACTTTTTTTGACTCTCTCCTGGACCTTCAAATGTGAAATGTTAGAATAATATGTCTATAGTTGTTAATTACTGATTAGTTACTTTTCTTTAGCCCATCAGCAGCACAAATTTTTTATCTACAAAATCTATTTTTTTTATGTAAGTATATTTGTATTATTTATGCTGTTTAACATTCGTAGTTTATTTTATTTATGCTTTACACCATAAAATGGGAATATAAGATACAAATATATTCAAAAATGCTGGTGTCTGACCTTATGGTCATCATTAGGACTGCTGTGCTCCATCACAAATTTGGAGCAAGAACAAAAAATGTTGCTGAACCAGGCTATTATACTTCTTGGCAAGAGCTACGCTGTGCTATGGATTCAGTGAAGTCATGTACAGCAGGAAGGTTTGATCAAGGACAGCAGCTTTTGATTGATGTATACGACATTCACTTTATTTTAAATTGTAGCATTATTTTATTTTTAAAATTTCCAGTGATAATTTTAACAGTTTAATAAAATCACAGGATTGTGGAAGAATGCATTGTTTATTTAAGGTATCAACATCATTACTTTAAAATTAGAAAATAAATAGCAATGCAACATTTTTCTCAGACAATATAACCGTCCAAACACTTATAGGAATAAAAGGAGTTTCGGGCTTCAGATGTACAACAAAACTTCATCATTTGATAAAATAGATATTTACATTTGATGCCCATTTAAATGTAACATGGATTCTGGTGAGAAATAAATAGTTGTCCATTTTAAAGGGAAATTCTGGGTGTTCTTTAGGATGTAACTTACATTTCACACATACATAGAAGAACAGATTATGATCCTGTCTAGCATGAAACAGACTTGATGGTTTGCAAAAATTATGTCAGTAGAATTATATTTACTAATAGTTACCTTCTTATTTGAAATGTCCTTAGAATAAAAAAAAGTATCTGAGAGGTCTGGGATCTCTACACGAGCTGGCTGACAATAGTTTGAACATGTTCGAAAGTATTATTATTATTATTTTTTTAGTGCATTAAATTCCCTAAATCAAACACAGTCAATTTGATATTTAACTTTGTCTATTTGTGAATAGTTTGGAAAATATTTATTCAGCAGCATGAGACAATGATGGCCAGGTCTCAGGAAGCAAAGTAGCAGCTGTGCATGGAGTAAAGGCTGTCTATTGGGTTTCCTGTTTGTGCCTGTAGGAAGCATCCGCCTGGCAAGGCAACAAAGGACTCACTTAAACTTGTCATAGAGGTGTCACTGTCATTGTCATGGAAAATGGAATCCATACCTAGGCAAAGGAGAAATAATACAAAAAAGTGAAAAATAAAGCAAGACAGCATATACAGCAGCCCTAAATAGCAAGTACTTTACTGTCTTTATTTTGACAATTCAATATTAAATGTGTTTTAACAAGAAAATAGTAATGGTAGAGAGGTTGTCTTCCATCAGAACTCTGGGATTTCATGCTGGATGTGGAACTAACCTTAGCAAGTCACTGTAAACCTTGCCCTAAATATTCTAATGAATGAAGGAAGAAAGGAAGAAATGAAGCATCTCCAAAAACACAGTTCAAATACATAGAGATAAACTAGACCACCACCTACATAAAACACATGTTGGTAATAATCTGTGTTTTTACAAAATACAGTACAATGGATGATTTGGATAGAGCTGAAGCACAGTATTGTGTTAAAGGTTGTTGATTTATTGATTTGTAGGGAATCAATCCACTGTCTTCATAGAAAGAGCTGCAGTGTATAACTTTCATAATGAATGTTTTTTCTCATATTTGTTAAAATTGTCGTGACAGTCTAGCATGAGACAGATAATCTGCAAAAAAAAAAAAAAAAATCAACCTCTTCCCTGTACTATGATAGCAAACTGCAGAAAAGCACCGCTCCATGCCAGAAACAACCAATCAGACCCAGGAAGTGTCTCAGTACTGTATATCAGCTTGTGTACAGGCTGAACAATGTGCTATTGGCAGAAAAACAACTTTCCAGAAAAATTGTGTATTCGGCATCATCACTTGACATGCTGACTAGGTGAACTTCAAATAGGTTCATGAGAAAATAATATTACATGAAAATACAACATCTCAACAGGAAGGTAAAGATTGAGCACAAATTAGTTATCCAAATAGAAGAAATCTCCCAAATTGGCTAAGAAAAACAGTTAATGTATTGGAGAGGGCATTCCATAGACCATAGAATATTTGAGAGCTGCATCAAATGTGTCAAAAAATCTGTTACAGTAGATTTGTCAAAAGGAGTGGACAAAAATTTCAGCAAACTATCATTAAGGAGCTTGTAGAAGGATAGCCAGAAAATTTGACTTAAACCAGGTTATTTAAAAGTAATTATAACACATTAGGGAAAATTAAGTTAACTTTGAAAAGAAAGATGGAAAAAAAAAAGTGTTTTGAAATTTAAAGAAATCTGAAAAATACAGAATAAGAACTTTAAAACATCTGGCAGCTGCTGAACATGATGCTAACCATACGGATTCATGTGGTCACCAGGCATTTGAGGTGGAGTGAGGCCCTGATGGAGACAGTCTATGTTGTATCCACAATGCTCTATGGTCACCAACTGGGGCTGGGTCGAAGGCAGAGACGCTGAGAAGGTGCTGAGCAGGCCATCCATACAGCCAGATATTACTTCTGGTGAAAAGTGAAAGTGAAAAGCAAATAGTCGAAATACAGTTTTCTCAGCTCAACTTTTGTACATTACAATTGTTCATACATTGTGTGGTCGTTTTATGAATATGAACACACATTCCTAACTATGGGTTATATTTTTGTAATTCACTCTCTACATTTACTTCCCTTACTGGATTTATGTTTTACCCTCAAGTTGATTTCTTTCATGTTGTGTTTAAAACTGCAGTAAATAACTTTTATAAAAAATATAGGCTTTTTATATATTTGTTAAAATTGCAGTCATGACAGCATAATGTGACAGGTAATCTGGGGAAAAAAAATCAACTTCCTCGTCCTCCTCCAAGTGCTACTATTGCAGTCTGCAAAAATGCATCTTTCTTATGTCAGATACATCCAATCAAAGCCAGGAAGAAGGACTTAGAAGTGTCAGACAGCTTTGATAAGAGCTGCTAAATTTGCTAGTAGCAAAGAAACAATTTGTCACAACAGGAAAACTATATTTCTCTCATAATAACAAGTCTGAGCATTTGTGGCAAGCTTTGTCATCAGGAAGAAGCACAGTAGAAAGAAATGGGTTGGAGGTGAGCAGCTCTTATACAAGCTAGATTGACAGTGCTAAGACCCACCTCTCTGATTGGCAATTTCTGACTGATCTGGGTATTTCAGCAGTTAGCACTGGGAGAAGAAAGAGAAGGTAATTTTTTTTCAGAGATTATCTGTCTCATAATATACTGTAGCCCTATGCAACACTCCAGAAATATTCAACAAAATGTGATATTGATAAGCAGACAATATCACAAACCGAGCAAAATGATCCAAAATGCCAACATGCAGTGACTGGCTGCTGCCAGGAAGACACAGGAAGATGCAATTTTATATTTTGTAGATTTGTTCTAAAGAAGTGTTTAGAACAGCTAACCTGAAGACTTTACTAGTATGAAACACAGTCCAGACTTTTGGGGTGAAAGTCTGGACTGCGTTTCCAGTTAACATAGGAAAATTATGTCCAAAATTCCCTCAGTAATTTTTTGTCATCGGAACAAGTAATTTATTTTGTGTCATTGTGTCAGTAATTTATTACATTTTTCTCATGTGAGAAGTCATTTACATTTGTTTAAAAATGGAGAAACTTCTCCTAACATCATTAAGGTAAAAGAATTTGTGGCAAGTTTATGGAAACTATTTATACTCATAGGCAGCATATTCCAATGTAGGTATTTTTTCTGATGCTGGACGTAAAAGAAAAAATATAGTGCAAAAAATTAGCAACAATACTGGTTAATATAAGACACTTTAATAAACTGTAATGCTAAACTGAAAAGCTAAAAAAGTAAAATGAGTGTTGCGTTATAATGTACAATTGTTAACTTAATAACTCATAATGAGTGCCATTATAGAATTGAGATATCTTTTCTTCCCCAAAATGTATTTATGCTTTAACTTGAGGTAAAAGGTAAACGAAATATAACAGCCTACTACTAACATATCAGCAAAAGTGGGCTAGAACACACCCAATTATACAGACATATATACACATGCATAACATGGATAAGGTCAAAGTGACCATACTATGGTAATAGACAGAAACAGGTACATTTAAAAAATAAACATAGTACCTAAATATGTGTAAATCTCTGCCTCAATTCACACACACATACACACATGGCAAGAAAAAAAAAGTCAGGTGCCAAAATACCGATTTGACAAATTTTACTCAGAAAAGAAGTTGAAAGAGAAAGAAATATTGAAAAGAATAATAATCACTCACTAGGATGCTGTGTTGGCACAACCCACATAAGGAGGCCAGACATGCTTCAGTGTGATACAGAAGTTTGCATTGAATTAAGTTATGTGGATTTGTGTCCAACGTCCAAAGTGATCTAAAGGAATTCAGTGCTTGTGGAAATAAAAAATAGCACCTTTCATTTTGACAGTTGGTTTTAGAAAAATGTGTAAAGGTCAATCCCTGGGAAGGATGGAAAACTTGAAAATGTAGAATGGGCAAAACTACGCACCTGCAAGTATTTGAAAAATTGACGCTGTGGGAATAACCGAGATGTCTTGATGCAAAGTTAAAGTTGATAAAACATGAGAAATTGCTTCTCAAACATGTTGCACAAAACTTTTATTGGGATTTCTGTAGAGAATATTATTGATGAAACAATATTATAAAAAAGCTGTTGAGTTTATAGGAAGATGGATTTAGCTAGATCCATAAACACCCAAAGGTGTTTTACTTAGTTTTGACATTGGGGGCTGGTAATAAATGAAAAATATTTTTTCCCATACTGTTTGCAACAAAAAATTAAAATTAAAATTAAACTCATCTTTTTTATACTTTTCTAAAAATGTATCTATAACATAAATCCCCATTAAAATATACCTCATCTAGGAGATAAAATATAAAATCATTCATGGGTAACTTTTAGAAGTTAAAAATATAATTACTGCAAATAACACTACATACTATATACTACTACTATATAATACTCATATAAATTTGAAATAAAATATTATGTCCATTTTTAGTTAAGAATTTACAAGTCAAAGCATACAGTAGATGTATGCTTCATATAAACTGAATGGTTGTCTTAACTTAAGGATGGCTGACCATCATCAATGTTTCCATGGTTTTTCCAGTTTATTCTAGCATCAATCTCAAACATTTCCCATTTGCTGATTTGCTTAGCTCATTTGGTTATCAGCAGCAGTTTCCGCTGTAATAAACCAAATGAGCTGTTCTGCCAATATTGACATGCTGCAAATCCCATAGCAGACAGAAGCTGTACTTGCCAAAGCAGTGAGACACTTATCTAAACTGTCTGCTCACATCCGCTGCAAGATCACAGTGGCAATTAGCCCACACTGCTGTAAGCAAGCTCTACTGATAAAATCATGGCTTCCACTTTATAGCAGTGCTGTCAGAAAAATTCATATTCCCCAGCATGGGTGACACTCTGACATCAAAACATATGATTATTTTTAATTATACAACTGGAAGTGTACCATTATTATTTTAATAAACTTAATAATTTGTACTGTGATTTATATGCATTGTTATACATATTCACAATCACTGATTGTAAACTTACCTGGGCCCAGTCTTTGACTGCTTTGTTGCTCCTGCTGTTGCTGCTGTCTGCGTGCTAACTTCTTCATCTGTAAGTAAATAAACATAAACCGGTGAATGAACTTTTAATTTGAATTTGAATTGAATTGAATCAGTCTAAATCCTAAAGTTTAAGAAAAAAGTACCTGGTGAGCTTTTTTTTTAAATTGCTGAATCAGTTTTGTCTTTGTCAACTATAGGAAGAAGCACTTAAATATCACAAATGATTGTGATATGCTTAAAATGCGAGACTAAAACTAGCAAGCAATTTAAGACTCATGCTGACGGACTGCTTGACGATAGGGGAAAAAAACCTTTTGGCTGGCCAAACTTTGGCAAGCCTGTTCACCCAAATACGAGCAAACAGAGCAAATGGTAGATTAGAAATGCTTAATCTACTGGGTTTAACTGATACAGATCTGATTCAGACATTTAAGCACTTTTTGCAAAAGGCAGAAGGAATAATTTTTAGCGAGAGATGTGTGAAAGTTTTGTCATACATCATGCAAATAAGGATATAGTGTCTGACATAAAGAAATAATAATTAGGCTTGTTTTAAATCAATTTTGCATCTTAACATTACTACAGACATAAGAACTGCAGGATACATGCAAATATGGTTCTGGAGGTTGGTTTAGGTACACGTTGCTGACCTTTGCCCTTTGGTTTTGGAACCACACCTGGACCACACGAATACTTAGCCCGGTCTCTGCTGCCAGGATTTCTCTGACCTGGAAGATCAAACTTATTAGTACTTTTTTGTGCATTTCAATTATATATGGAATTATGTTGTAACCCCCGAAGCTCTTCGTAATACAGGAAAGCATATTGAAATCTTTAGGTTAGTTGCTTAGAAGAGCAATATAAAGCTCCAGTACCAGTGCTATGCAAACACAACAAATGCAAAGAAAAAAAAGAAAAGAAGACTAAATTTAAACTACTTAACTATAAAAACCTAGAAGAAATCAGAAATCAGTCAAGCTCAAGTTCCTGCATTTGATCTCATTGAAATATTTTAGTAAACTCATCCCTCTCATCAGGTGCTGCCCCTCAGGTTTTAAAAACAGTAACTATCAAACCACTGATAAAAAAGAACAATCTGGACAAATCACTACTGAGGAATTACAGGCTTAGTGTTGACCATGACATATTACTAAAACGACTGGAGAGTTGGGTCGGACTCTCCTGTCCAGAACTTAACTGGTTTGAATCTTACATAAAGAACATTTTCAATAGGAAATGTCTAATCGAAGCAGACAGAAATCACAAAGCTCAATCCAAGGACCTCTTTTATTCAGTATCTATATGCTCCCTCTAGCTCAGGTTATAACAATAAATAAGATTAGCTACCACAACTACGCAGATGATACACAGCTCTACAATAGAGTGTCACTATCCGTGCACTGAACAGATGCACTGAACAGGTGCCATAACTTTCTCCAGTGAAACAGAAACAAAACTGAAGTTATTATCTTTGGACCTAAAGAGGAACCATCTAGAGTCAATACACAACTTCAGTTATTACAGCTGGAAACTAGCAGTAGATATTATAAAAGAGGCATACACCTTCAAGATTACAATATTACATCAGAATTGTACAAAAACATTTTTAATACAGAAATGTTGGTTTAAGGATATGTTTAATACCATTTTTAAAATTTAATTTTAATCTGACAAAGAAGCCCCAATAGAACAAATGTTCTAATTTACTTTGGGAATACCGAACATTTGTGTAATATATATACCCAACTTAAACTGGCTTCAGAAGAGTTACTTAACTTAGAGCATCCAATGACTGGTTCTAAGAAGAATGTTCAGGTAAAAAAGCATGACTGCGAAAGGGGTATTTTTTTACTGTTTGATCATTTGCTCACCTTTCTGCAGGGCTTGGAGGAAACCTCAAACGAAGCCTTAAAGGCACGTCTCTGCTGCGTGGTGAGGATGGTGCGCGGCCGTTTAGGACGCAGAGGCTCTTTGCTGTCATCACTCCTTTTCTCTGCTGTAATAAATTTTTCTGACTTTACATCTGATATCTCATCCTCACTCTTTTCTGTGTGTGAACACAAAACAGATCACAGCTTTTTTCATTCTGATGCTTTTTAACTTGCATAGGAGAATTCAACATGAACAGAAATAGACGTGAAGAGGAACACAATGGGATACACAGTAGAAAGCACTAAATTAAGAAGAAGCCCCTAGTTATACCTGAGTCTGAACTGTCTGGGCTCATGGTCCTCAGCAGGTCTCTTTCTTTCACATAGTCGGCCTTACACAGCAGCTGTTGACCAGCCTTCAGCACAAACTCGTCTCCTTTGCTCAGTCGACGCTCACAGACACTGCAGCAGAAGCAGCTGAGGTGGTAAACACTCTGCACAGCTCGCATTACAAACTCTGTTGGAGCAATTTTCTCCAGACAGCCACTGCAATTGGTGGAAAATAATCTGAGGACAGAAAATTGAGAGAATACTTAGAATTGAATTGATTTTAATGATAATCACTATGAGAGTTTAACTTGATATCTAAATGATTTGGCACAAACAAGCCAGCAAATATCATAATAACCAAAAGATTTGGATTAAAAAAAAAAAGAAAATAGCAAATATAGTAGAGCCAATACCATATCCAAGTGTACTGTATGCCCTGATCAGTCACAATATTATGACCACTGATAAGGTAAGTGAGTGATCCTCCCACAGTGCAAAGTTTTGAAGACAGATTTGCATCCAGGTTATCCAGACATTGAGTAAGCAATTGAACCTCAACCTAAAGATTTGCAGACAGGCCCCTACTTCTCTGACTGTCAACACATTTTAACAAAGGCTCTTCCAGCAAAAGAAAAAAAAAAGTTATTTTGCGCATTATATGCACTGTATCTTATAACTGTCTCCTAAAAATTAAGAACTGGAAAAAAATCAAAATGTCAGTGCCTAACGGTTCACTGCTTAGAATGATTCACTGTTTTTTTGTTATCTACAGACAAATGCTTTAATGTTGTAGTGCTACAGGCCTTCTGACAGACAGTTATGCAAATTAGATTTTCTCAGATTTTCTTAAATGGTCAATGCAAATAATGGCCAGTATAATTTTCAAGTCATGAACCATTGCAGTATAAATCAAATTTAACTTTAAAAAGCTCTCAATGAGAACAGTATTTTTTTCAAAAATAAAAAACTCAAAGTGCACTGTTTGAAATTATTATGCATAGCAAATTATGCAAATTATTATGATACAAGCCAATTGGGTTCTTTGATGTTTGAGGCACAGTTTGGATTTTCCATTTCAGCTGAACCACAAATTGTTGTAGGTAACCTATAATAAGTGGAAAAGAAATCTATTTCTTAGAAGAAAAGTTAAAGGAACATGGTACAAAAAGTATACAAAAACTGTTCTGTGCTCGTCTAAATTATGGAAGTGCTGATCGTGAGCAGAAAGTATCAGAATCTGGGGATGAGAATGGAAGGAGGAAGGAGATGACTGGGAGGGAAGTACACAAGGGCTCTGTTTGAACAGCTGCACTGCTCCTCTTCAAGTCATACTTCACTCCTCTCTTCAGCAGATTTCTTTCTGTAATCTATTTATTTCAACTTGCACATTTTTGACTATCTGTTTAAAATTGACATCTACACAATGACAAAGATGAGCAGAAAATAATAATAAAAACATAAAAATTATTGCAGATGAGTGACTCACAAGTTTGTTTTGGAAATCTAATGAAATGCAGTCGACGAAAGCTGTTGTCATAATAGAAACTGATAATAAAGTAGATTTGAATGAGTTTTCTTGAAGAAAGTAAATTGTCTACATTTAAAATAAAATCAACTCAGAACCAGGGCCGTACAGAGACCTTCAGAGGGGCAGAGCCTCGAAGTTAAAAAGGGGCACACTGAACAAGATCTTAAAACAGCATACAACAACATAGCAACATTAATGAAGAATCTAATATTTAATTGGATCATACTTGTCATCATGTGGGAACTATGAAAAGCAAATATAGTGTGTAGGCACTTTTCCACTAGCCAGCCTCGAACCAGTATGGTCTCGATCTGCCTCAACCAAATTCGTTTTCCATTAGCAAATCCGGCGCTTACGAGCAGAACCAATCAAGGTACGGCACCAAAACCATTTGATTGACAGCTCACAGCATTCTTTGATTCATTGGCTCGTTATTTAGGTCACCAAAAACTCAAAAACAACCTTAAAGTTTAGCTGTGGACCAAAGATATCTCATCTATTCAGTATGGAGGAACAGTTACAAGTTTAATCACAATCAGTGCCAGGAACACATGCAGTTGTGCAGCTGAATGATCTAGCAGCGCCGCTAGCAGCTCGTTGCACTTAACAGAGTACTGGTCAGCTTTCTGACGGGCAGCAATATCCTGCTGACAATATGAAACATCACAACTATATAATAGTAGTCTGTGAGGTGGATTTTAGTTTTCCTTTGGATTAAAAAAAGTTTGGGTCTAGCTATTGGTTTACATCTTTTCACTGCATTATATAAACCCAAAAGTTCCACATTTTAAAAAGATAAAGTGTCCAGAAAGTAATTACATCAACATGTACAGCAAAATAAGTGAAAAAAATACTTTCATATATTTCAAATAAATTTACATTTGTATAAGTACATTTCAAGGATAGTAAGTATTAAGTGCACAAAGTATACTAAAATTAAGGGCTGCACAGTGGTAGCACTGTTGCCTTGCAGCAAGAAGGTCCTGGGTTCGATTCCTGGTCCATGGTCTTTCTACAGAGAGTTTGCATGTTCTCCCTGTGCATGCGTGGTATTTTCAGTGAGTGTGAGTGTGTGTGCATTGTTGTTTGTCCTGTTTGTTTCTGTGTTGCTCTGTGACAGACTGGCAACCTGTTCAGGGTGTACCCCGCCTCTCGCCCGGAACGCAGCTGGATTTAGGCACCAGCAACTGGTATACTATACACCTTATGTTTTTCCTGATACTAAAAGCATACTTGTACCAATTTTGACATTATAACTTTTACCTAAATTTACTGTTAAGAAATATATTAAATAAAAGTATACTTTAAGTGAACAAAATATGTATTTGTGTGAATATATACTTGCTCAAGTGTGTTTAAAAGATTTTTAAAAGATATAGCATTTATTTTAAAACATTTGCTCAAAAGAGAATTTTTTAAAATTCACTGCTAATGTGCTAATAGCATTCATTTTTAGAGAAAGACAATGTTATTTAATTTGATTCAATGCATTCAACAGAGATAAAATTTAAAATAAATGGTATATTTAATATTTAATTAGGAAGTTTTCTTTGTGAAAGTGCAAAGAATCATCTTGATAGTTTGATTGTTCTGTTACCATGGCTACAATCGATGCCATCTGCAATCTTCCTGTTTGACATGGGTTTGTTCACAAATACGTCACAGCAAATAATAACCAATAACCAGTGATTGATTTAAAACTTAGCCAACGTGGGCTACCTCTCACTGACTTCACTAAATCTATATTTAAACATTGTTAAAAATGCTGAGGTTCTTAGTAGGAGGAGGCATGTGGGCTAAATCTAGCAGGATCTAATTTTGACCCACAGCAGTGGGACTCCGAGCCGGGAATCGAACCCAGGACTGTCTTGCTGCAAGGCAACATACATAAGGCATCAGTATATCACCCGAGAGGGCAGGGTTCGAATCCAGTCTGGGTCCTTAGGCAAGACCCTTCAAGCTACTGCCTACCTCATACCATGAGAGATACTAAGTTGCATAACATGCCGGCTCAGACGTCGCCCGGCCAAACAAGGTCTGCGTCAGGTGTTGGGGAACCAGAGCACCTTGATGACAAATGGGCTACTGGAACAAGACGGAAATGGGCGAGAGATGAAAATGTGGATCTGTTGGAATGCTACTACTCAAGTAACCCTAGTCAGAGGGGTTACATGCAAAGACTGGGGAAGGAATGGTTACTTCGACATCCCCAGTCAACACTAAGCGCTAAACAACTAGTAGCTCAGTGTTCCAACATCCGCAAACGGCAACTGCTATCACAACTTGAGATTGACGAGATACAACACAAATGTTACGGCAAAAGGGAGGAACCCGGATGTCAGAACTGTGGGGACTTAACTACAAGTCCCCACCCAGTGAGGGGATACACGGCCCCAATGAGCGAAACAGAGCTGAACGAGACAGCTGCTGACCTGAGAGAGAGAATCATGACCCGAATGACAACCAGGCCTCCTCGGCGCCAATTACAACGGCTGAGTGAAGTACCATCAGAAAGTCTCATTGAGAATGTGAATGCAGCATTGAGAACGATCCCTACCAACACCATAACAGAAACCAATGAGCTGATCTACAACTCAGCATCAGTGATCCTTGAGATACTTGGCTATAAGAGCAACCATGAGACCCAATACCCACCATGGAAAAGACGGTTAGAGGCTAAAATCAAGGTAACAAGGAGGGAAGTGAGCCAACTGTCAGAGCTCCACAAGGGTACAATGAAAAGACCAGTACCCAGAAAGTACAGCCAGATGCCCATACCTGAAGCACTCGAGACTGCCAAACAGAGGCTCCAAGCCTTGGCCAGCCGCCTAAAGAGATACACAAGGGAGAATGAATCCAGAAGGATTAACCGGCTCTTCTCCACTCAACCAGCTAAGGTGTACTCTCAATGGCAGGGTAATAACAACAGAGCAGACCCACCAAGGCTGGAGACTGAACAATACTGGAAAGGCATATGGGAAAGGGAGGCGTCCCACAACAGCAATGCACAGTGGCTGATCTCTCTACGAGAGGACCACAGCAACCTCCCTGAGCAAGCCCCGGTAACCATCACTGTGACAGATGTTCAAGAAAGACTCTCAGGCATGAAAAATTGGACAGCACCAGGGCCTGACATGATCCATGCCTACTGGCTAAAGAAACTCACTGCTCTCCATGAGCGACTGGCAGCCCAATGAACCAGCTGCTACAAAGTGGGACTCACCCTGAATGGTTAACTGAAGGGCAGACAATCCTAATCCAGAAGGATCCATCAAAGGGTCCAGTCCCACCCAACTACCGACCAATAACCTGCCTCTCCACAACCTGGAAGCTCATGTCAGGCATCATAGCAGCCAAGATAAGCAAACACATGGATAAACACATGAGCACGGCACAGAAGAGTATCGGTGTAAATACCAGAGGAGCCAAACACCAACTCCTCATAGACCGCACAGTTGCCCGAGACTGCAAGATTACAAGAAAGCCTATGACTCAATGCCGCATACTTGGATCATTGAATGCCTAGAGATGTATAACATCAACAGGATTCTGAGAGCCTTCATTGCAAACTCGATGAAGCTGTGGAAAACCACGCTTGAAGCCAACTGCAAACCACTTGCACAAGTGTCCATCAAATGTGGCATATACCAAGGAGATGTTCTGTCCCCGCTACTGTTCTGCATAGGCCTGAACCCCTCAGCCAATTATC